CTGGAGATGCTGCAGACTGTGGGGATTTCCTTCCTGTAAACAGAAGAGTGGTTATCCTATCTGACAGAGATGCTTGTGAGGTCAGTTTGTCCTCAGAACCACCGACTGAAGCAAGAGTTTGGAAACGCCACAGACATCAAATGCTGCTGTCACTCAAAGACTGCCTTCATCTGCATTATTTTCTGACATTTTTCAAGTCTTTGCTTCAAAAACACAACTTTTAGCCAAATATGTGTCTGCACTGTAAGAACAACAAATGCTCACAAAACGTTTGACCTTGTTCCTGATTCATGAAAAAAGTTTGATTCAAATAAAAATAGTTCAGCTTTTCAAGTAGGCTAATATTATAAAGACAATCATTATTTTACCTGTTGTAGAGATGTCTTTGATCAACTCTGTTTGGAGTTTAAAGTCCGATCCACATGGTAATAGCATTTTCACCAGACTCTCTCATTGGTACATTTTCATCTTTAAATCACTTCTTGGTCTGCTGCCTTCATACATCTCCTCCTACATGTCTCTGTGTGAGTGCAGCAACAGCGTCCGCTCTCAGAACATTATTACCTGCAGTGTTCCTTCAGTGAGAACTGAACTAGGCAAAAGGGCCTTCTACTACTCCGCACCTGTTTCCTGGAATTTCTTGTAAAAAGATCTGAAGCTCTCGACCTTGACCTCTCTAAGTGGCTTCAAACATCTGTTAAGTTCCTGAGAACAACCAACGCAGACATGTTCCCGTTTTTAATTTTCTACATCGTCTTATAATCTAGCTGTATTTTATTTTATTTTTTGCTACTTTTTCTTTTGACTGTCCTTTTGGTTGCTATTTTGTTTTGATTTAAAAGAATGAAATAGAAATTTAAATCGGTATGCCTCTCTTTGTGATCGTCTAATATTGTCGTTGTTGTCCACTGTTGTCATCACTCTTTGTTAAAATTCAGGTCTCTCTTAGCCCTCGAGGCTCAGTGGGATTAACCTGTCTGAATAAAGGCTGAATGAATGAATTTTGTAAAAACACACATTTCATTCTTTGTTTCAGTCTTGCAGCCACTCAAAGACGTCCAGATTCCAGAGTGAACAAATTTGTGAACCTCGAGTCTTTTTGGTAGACAGCCAACAAGATTTGGACACACCAACAAGAAAAACCACAGTTTACTAGTTTGTGTTTGGGCTGCAGACTGGAGGAGCTGAGCTACAACACATTCATTTAGAGTCAAACTCTAAGAAAAACACGAGGCTGATGGGCATCACCAAAACCCCGAGAACAACTTTATGAAACTCACCAGGAACAATGCAAACACTGCCAGAAGATTAACATTAAAACATTTGTTGTGATGGAGGTTTGGAGAGTCTGCTCCACACGTTCTCTCAGACCTTCTCTCAGGTCTTCTCTCCTGACCTTCTCTCCACACCTTCCCTCCAGACCTATCTTCCACATCTTCTCTCCAGACCTTTCTTCAATCAATCAGAAAATTGCCTCTTTCTGCCCAGTAGCCAAATCAAAAGTAAAACATTTAGGAGTCCCATTTGACTCATCATTAGGCTTTGAGTCTCACATTAAAGATATTTCCCGTTCTTGTTTTTTTCATTTAAGAAACATTTCTAAAATACGACCTCTGGTCTCCAGAATTGACCTTGAGAAAATTATTCAAGCTTTTGTGTCATGGCGTCTGGACGACTGCAATGTCCTTTTTACCTGCCTGGACAAGTCTTCTGTTTCACGTGCACAAGTGATACAGAACGCAGCTGCCAGACTTCTCACCAAATCCAGCAAATACTGTCACATCACCCTAGTTCTATATTCACTACACTGGCTCCCAGTCGAGTTTAGAATCAGTTTTAAAGTTCTTTTGCTGACATACAGAGCTTTAAATGGCTCCTGTGCATCTTTGTCAGCTTTTAACCAAACACTCTGCTGCTCGTGGCCTTAGCTCCCAGTCACAGAACCTCTTGGATGTTCCACGTACGCAGCTGAAAACTAAAGGGGACAGGACCTTTCAGTCAGTGGCTCGAAGACTGTGGAACAGTTTGCCCCTGCAACTTCGTTCTGCTGACTCTGTTGAGGTTTTTAAAAAGCAACTGAAAACACTTTTATTCTCCCAGGCTTTTATGTCATGATTTACTGTGCTTCTTGTAGTTCTTAGGCTTGCTTTATTCTTTGTATATTTTAGCGTTGATTTTTATTGTACAGCGCTTTGTGATTTTATGTCTGTGATAAGCGCTTTATAAATAAACTTTACTTACTTACTTCTTCCACATCTTCTCTCCAGACATTCTCTTCACTCCTTCTCTCAGATGTTCTCTCCTGACCTTCCCTCCACACCATCTCTCAGACCTTCTCTCCTGACTTTCCCTCCACACTTTCTCTCCAGACCTTCTCTCCTCACCTTCTCTCCAGACCTTCTCTCCTCATCTTCTCTCAGGCCTTCTCTCCAGACCTACTCTCCACACCTTCTCTCCTCACCTTCTCTCAGGTCTTCTCTCCACACCTTCTCTCATCATCTTCTCTTAGGCCTTCTCTCC